GTGGGAAAAGATATCAGAGAACTTGGGAACAGAATAATTTATCTTCTATCACCCATCAAAGCGATCATGCCGCAGTCACAAGATCTGCTCCCAACAAAGTAATACAGCACCAATATTTCCACTGTTGCCAAGACAGCTGGTATGACTGAGACAAAAATGGTAAAAAAGGAACTTATCAAGCACTGGTAAGACTAAAATACATTTTGCAGAACAGCCTTCACTGTAACAACTGTTGAGAGAGGATTATTTTGACATGCATAGGAGTATCACATAGACTGGACTTCTACATGCACCTCACTGTAATTTACAATTAGCAATGTTTACTTCCCCTGCATTCGATTTGGATTCAGATCTCAATTTTCCTACCTCTTTCATGATTTTGATGGCTTCCACTCGGTGCTGGGGTGGGGGATATAGCAGCATTCGGTGATAGAGTGACTGGAGCACAGGTTTCATGGACTCTACTGACCCCACCAATCTAACCAGTTCTGCTGCAATGTAATATATGGTCCGAGCAACAGGGCCGCTGAGGGCAGGTGCTGTGGAGGAGCAACCTGAGCCTCGACCATGATCAGCGACCCCCAAGGAGGGCGAATCGGCCTCAAGATAGATGCTACTGTGAGCAGAAGTGATTGTTTTGTCATGGATTGGATTTCCCAGGATTACAACAAGGGCTGGACACAATTGCTTCCTGGGGAAAGGGAAAAAAAGAACAGATGAAAATAAGAAAAAAAAAGTGTCCCAGAAACAGCTTTACAATAGCCTAAAACCCCCTTCAACTCAACTCATTCTGGATTGAAACAGCTTGGTAAAGATGTTTAGCCCAGTGCCTGCCAAGAGCGAATTCAAATCAGTGGTGAAAGTGCCTGTGTGTATCTCATTGCCACCTAACTCTCTTCTAATGACTTTAAATACTCACAAAGAATTAATAGCTTCAAGCAACATGCTTATATTCATATTTGTGCTACTTTGTACCATAATTAGGGATGTTAAATTTTGATTAATCAGTTAATTGAGTAGTTGATGGAATTTTGACTACTCGATTGGTTGATAAGGGAGGAGGGGGGGCACTCGCTATCCCTGCTGTGGCTCTGCCTTTTAAATGTACTAAGAGCCGCCCGCAGCCCTTGCTACATTTCCAAAGCAGAGATGCAATGGGGAATTCAGTGAGAGTAGGGACTCAAGCAGTCCCCGCTCGCACCAGGCCCTGACTGCTGCATCTCAAGGCAGAGGACCAGCATGGAAACTATGGTGGACTCAGCATGGAAACATTTGCATATTGATTATGGTGATTCATTTATTTGCATATTCAGGGATCAGTGTGACCCCATTCTGCCAAGCAGCCCAGCTGCCCCGGGAGCAGCCCGTTCCACCACGTGACCGGCCAGCCCTGGAGCAGCCCCAGCCCCATCAGAGGAACCCTGCTCTGCCACACGACTCAGCTGCCCTGGGGCAGCCCCACTCTGCTATGTGGGCTGGCCATCCCTAGAGCAGCCAAGCTCTCAAAGCAGACATCCATCACGTGGCCCCGCTGGCTGGGCTGGGTGGCTGGGCCCGGGTTCCAGCCATGGCACACGTGGCAGCCCACAGCACCACTCACCATACGAGAGTGGGAGGAGAATTTTAGGGAATTGTGCTCCCCAGTGGGCGGGGCTTATTAGCAGCTGGCTGTGTGGCCTGGCAGAGTTCCACAACCCAGCAGGCAGGGGTTAGTGGCCCGCCACTGGTCTGCGGACTGGCAGTTGGGATCCCGCCCGGGTTCCAGCCATGGCACACGTGGCAGCCCACAGCACCACTCACCATACGAGAGTGGGAGGAGAATTTTAGGGAATTGTGCTCCCCAGTGGGCGGGGCTTATTAGCAGCTGGCTGTGTGGCCTGGCAGAGTTCCACAACCCAGCAGGCAGGGGTTAGTGGCCCGCCACTGGTCTGCGGACTGGCAGTTGGGATCCCCTGGGTTGGAGCAGTCATCAGCCTGCTTTAACCTATACAGGACCGGGGCAGGGAATTGGGAAGCTGTAACTGGTTGATGGTTCTCAGCTCCTTTCCCCTGCTTCTGCACTGTGCTGATTTTGTGTGTGCGTGTGCTTGCTCTCATGTGCACACCAGAGGCTCTCTGAGGCTTGCACAGCACTAGTCAAGCTCCCATCGTGGTCACAGCAGGGCTCCAACAGTCAATGAGCAGGCTGTGGAGTAGCCAGAACTACTCTGTGCTTTCAACCCTGTGATGCAGTAAGTAGATGATCCTCATGGTAGCTGTTGAACATCTGCATTGGGGAAGTGACAGTTGCTCATTAGATCTTTCCTTGGTCTTGCCAGAGCTGCTCTTGCATCTGGGGGGAAGTGGCGGAAAGTGCCTGGAAAAGCCATGCCCCTTCCTACTTTTTCCCCCACAGAGGGCGGGCCAGATTCAAACACTTCGGTTTAAAAATCACAGGGTGCCGTTGCTCCTGGGACACATTTTCTATTCACAGTCTCACACATATTTGTGTCTTAACACTGTCACCCCGCAGGAGAGATTTAGAACCTTGAGGGCCACAGGTTGGACATTGCTGCTCTTTCACAGACTCTGATAGACTTTGTGTTAATGACACTCTGACCTTATTTCTAACTCCATTGATGGGAGCCAAGCATCTGAACACTACAAAGAGGTAGTCAGAAAGCGGGTTGAGGGTTAGTTCAAGTGATAGGGCACCAACTGGTTCACATGTTAAAATAGTTAATGGCTTAAAATTGAAAAATGGGGGACCTTGTAGTAAGGTAAGTTAGAAAGGAGAATAACTTGATAAAATAGACCAGAGGTTTTAATAAACATACTAGATTCAGAGATTTTTAAGCCAGAAGGAATGATAAGAATGATCTGTTCTAACCTCCTGCATAAAACAGGTCATAGACTTTCTTGCCCTACTGCATAACACAGGCCAGTAACTCGGGTAGTGCTTCAATCGATCATTCCCTGTTACATACGTATCAATCCTGCGCCCAGTCACTTCTGGTTGAATTGAACTAAAATGTATATGTTGAGTACAGAATTGAGTCCTATATGGTTGCAGAAAGATACACAAAATGATCAGTGAAGTCCTTTCAAGACCTAAAAACTGGAATGCCATAATAATAATAATGAGATTTACAATAGGGTTTAACGTAGCTGAGACTCAGTGCTCAGCAACCTGTATTAGCCAACAAAATATTAATGAAGAACTTTCCAGTGAAGGCTGCACATGGCTTCTTCATGTTTGCTCAGGTGAAACCCACCTCTCCCTCCCCTCCCCCCCCAAAAAAAATTAATCAGGGGAAATCTAAGTTCTATTTCTCTTCATAGGAAGGTGCAAGTGTACTTACCAAATAAGGTCAGTGAATCCTCTGTGATCGTGCATGCTGGGAGAAGAACTATTTAGCATTGAGAGAATACATTCCAGGTAAAGAAGCTGCAGTTGCTGATTTTCACTGACAAACAGAAACAAAGAATATTCAACAAAAACAAATATTTGAGACTTTAACATCACTATCATTAATATTCTGTTTGGAGAACAGTATTGATTCATCTGTGTGTTATCCTGTAGTTTATAGCATAGTGTTATTTTGTGTCTGCCTGAAAATGGCATGGATTTCAAATGTGTGATCCTCTTTACACCCCATTAGCTTTGCACTTAGTAACATTCAGTGCAAGCAGGCAGAAAAAGTAACAGGGTGATTAGCGTGTTCCATTTCATGATAAGGAAATGAGGAATAAAAGAAAATTCTTTAAAAAAAAAAAAGAAAAGAAAAAGTAGACAGAAGATGAATGCCATTATCTAAATTTGATTTAATGCAGAAGATGGGATTTTATCCCACAAATTAATAGAAAACTCCTCAAATTCCAGTAGAGTTGTTAGTTGCATCATGCAAACTGAGAACACCCAGAAGCTGCCTAACATTCTTAATATTACTCATATATTTTATCATTCGCTCTCTCTCTTTTTTGCTGTCATCCTTTTCTGTTTTGATGTCAGAAATCATGGCAAAGAATGCTAAATCAGTATTTCAGGAAAACTAGATTTTGGGTTCATCAGTCGGCTGCAATCAATACCAAGACGAATCCCAAGAGGAAGTGCATGGAAAGATCTGTGAACACCACAAACAGAACATGTTCTTATACATATTTTGAGAATTGACTGCAAGGTTCAGACAATAAAGTTGCTTCTTCATGTAAAGACAATTTTTTTGCACTAGGATTAACATTCTGTTTTTTCACTCAAGTCAAGGAGGAATTTTTCTATTCCTTTTTGGTTATTTTTTTAAAATAAGGTGAGGTCACGAGGCCATACTTTGAGGGCACGACTATACAGCAGGGCAAAAATTGAATTAAGCTATGCAACTTCAGTTACGTCAATTGTGTAGCTGACGTCGAATAGCTGAATTCTGCTTTTGGCGCTGTCAACACAGCAGGAAGTCGAAGGAACAACACTCTTCCTCTGACTTCCCTTATTCCTCACAAAATCAGGGTTGCAGAAGTCAGAGTTAGTCGTCCTCCATCTTGATATTATTTCTAAATAATGGTTTGCTGTGTAGACACGCATTTTGTTATTTCAAAATAATGTCAGTTATTCAGAAATAATGCTGCTGTGTAGACATATCCTGAGATACAATAAAAAGTAGGCAAAGCTATAAAGACCTGACCCATCCTGATCCATCTTCTATGCTTTACCCTTCTTTCATAGAACCATAGAGTTGGAAGAGACCTCAGAAGGTCATCAAGTCCAGCCTCCTGCCCTAGGCAGGACCAAATCAACCCAGCCAGGGCTTTGTCAAACCGAGACTTAAAAATCTCTATGGATGGAGACTCTACTACTTCCCTAGGTAACCCATTCCAGTGCTTCACCACTCTCCTAGTGAAATAGTTTTTCCTAATATCCAACCTGGACCTCTCCCACCACAACTTGAGACCATTGTTCCTTGTTCTGCCATCTGTCAATACTGAGAACAGCCTTTCTCCAGCCTCTTTGGAACCTCTCTTCAGGAAGTTGAAGGCTGCTATCAAATCCCCCCTCACTCTTTGTTTCTGCGGACTAAAGAGACCCAACTCCCTCAGCCTCTCCTCATAGGTCATATGCTCACCCCCTAATCATTTTGGTTGCCCTCTGCTGGACCCTCTCCAATGCGTCCACATCCTTTTTGTAGTGGGGGGCCCAAAACTGGACAACACTCCAGAAGTGGCCTCACAAGAGCCGAATAAAGGGGAATAATGACATCTCTGGATCT